CTACAGACATTTGTATGTTAAATTTGTAACCTGCCACTTTACTGAACATGTTAATAATTTCTAGGAGTTTTCTGGTGGAATTTTTGGCCTCTCTTTGATATATCATCTGCAAAAAGGTATCATTTGGTATCTTCTTTTCCAATTATTACTCCTTTAATTTCTTTTGTATTACTGCTCTTGCAAGAGTTTCAAGCACTATGTTAAAGAGGAGTGGAGATACTGGACAGCCTTGTCTGCTTCCTGATTTCAATGGGAATGCTTCCAGTTTTTCTCCATTTAGAATGATGTTGGCTGTGGGTTTGTTATATATGGCATTGTTGCTTGTTATGTAGCCTTTAGCTATACATATGGACTCTTAAAAAATTATATTGGCCCCTTTAATCTTTGGTTATACTTTATTTTGGGGTGTTTAAGGCCATACAGTTGGCCCAGATAAACCAATTTATTTTTACTCTTAAGGTCATTTGAGGATCTGTTCCTCAGGGATCACATGAGGTTGGGATGAGCTCGACTCCTTTCTTTTACCAGTTCTGCCTATGTGAAGATAAGTCAAAGGTAGTATTGGATGTAGATCTTCTTTAAATGTCTGATAGAATTCTGCTGTAAATCCATCCAGTCCTGGGCCTTTTTTAGTCAGGAGGTTTTGTATTATGTTTCAATTTCCTTATGTATTATGGGTCTGTTTAAGTTGTTAATCTCTTCTTGGTTTAGCTTTGGTGGTTCCCATGCTTTTAGGCACCCATCCATTTATTTTAGGTTTTCAAATTTAGTAGCATACACTTTTTTAAAGTATTCCCTATAATGTTCTAGATCTTTTTGGTGCCTGTTGTGATGTTTCCCCTTTCAGCTCTGATTTTGTTGATTTGGAGGTGCTCTTTCTTTCTTTTGGTTAACTGGGCTAGCGGTCTGTCAATCTTGTTTATCTTTTCAAAGAACTTTTAGAATTCTTGGATTCATTGATTCTATGTATTGTTTTCTTTGTTTCTATTTCATTAATTTCCGCTCTGATTTTTGTTTTTCTTCTTGTCTGCTGGGTTTCATTTGCTGTTGCTTTTCAAGTGTGTTGAGTTGCAATGTTAAGTCATTTATTTGTGATTTTTCCGATTTTTTTAATGTAGGCACTTAGAGCTATAAACTTCCCTCTAAGGACTGCTTTTAGTGTGTCCTAGAGGTTTTATTGTGTTGTATTGTCCTTTTCGTTTAGTTCCAGGAATAGTTTTCTTTCTTCATATCTCCTTTGATTCATTCATCATTCAGGAATGTGTTGTTTAATCTCCATGTGTTCATGTGGTTACTAGGGATTCTTCCAGTGTTGATTTTAAGCTTTATTGCATTGTGGTCTGATAGAATGCATGGAATTATTTTAGTCTTTTCGTATTTGTTGAGGTTTGTTCTGTGCCTCAGTACGTGGTCGATTTTGGAGAAGGTTCCATGGGGCGCTGAATACAAAGTATATTCTTTGGTGCTTGGGTGGGATATTCGGTAGTTGTCTGTTAGGTCTGTTTGATAAGTGATACTGTTTAATTCAGAAGTCTCTCTGTTAATTCTCTGTCCTGTTGACCTATCTCATAGTGACAATGGGGTATTGAGTCCCCTACTATTAATGAGTTGGGATTAATCTGGGTCTTAAAGTCCTGTAGTACTGTTTTTATGAAGTTGGGTGCACCCGAGTTAGGTGAATATATGTTTATGATTGTAATATCTTCTTGGTTTATTGTTCCTTTGATGAGAAAGAAGTGGCCTTCTTTGTCTCTTCTGATTAGTTTTAGTTTAAAGTCTATTTTGTCAGACATTAGAATTGCTACGCCTGCTTTTTTCTTAGTGACATTTGTGTGGTATATTTTTTTCCATCCTTTCACTTTGAGATAGTGTCTGTCTTTGAAAGTGAGATGAGTTTCTTGCAAAC